TTTTTATCGCTCATATCTTTTGGACTGAAATAGCGCAGACACTAATATGTGGGGGCGTGGTGGGATTTCGGCAATCGGCACACTGGGAAAAGCTCGGGTGCTCCCGATTGCCAATCAATTCTAGGTCTAATTTTCCTTTCCTCCACAGCCAATCACGTCGGGCCCCCTCAATTCGCGGGCCCTGGGGCTTCAGCCCCGCCTAGCCCTTATGTTAATCCGGCCCTGTCTGTATGGGGTAATGCCACAATTAGATGGCATATTTAATGTCTAAATTTAAAAAGTAACAAAAACATCAAATAATTGTTTGGCCCTATTGTACTTATTTGTACTCATTGAAATTGTCACAAACAATTTTATGTATTCTGCCCCAATATTTATTTATTTTTTAAAGATTTGATAATAAAAAAATTCTAGAAGCTATTATTATTATTATTATTAGTAGTAGTAGTAGTAGTAATTAAATAAAGGCTTTTCTTGATTGGCATCAGATATATATGTTTTTGGATGTAACTTTCAAAACAGCAACTATGAAATGTTGCTGTGAAATGTTATGTGAAAACTGTAGATGAGGTAAGAATGTTGTTTAAACTTTTGACATGAGAGATGTAGCAAATCAAAAGACAATTGAGCTAAATAAATTATGACAAAGAAATCACATCCAAGGTGCTGTATACAGTAGAATATGTGAGTGTTCTTATGCACTTTGAAGTGTCTGATGCAGTGGATTGACTGCAACAATTGCTGATGAAATACACCTGTCAACGCATTTGCTCCTGAGGCGAATTTTTTAAAGTGGCAGCCGAAGTGGTGTTGAAGTACAGGAGTCAAGCCTGCTCTCAACATGTAGTGCTTTTTCTAACGCTAATCAGAAATACACACAGAAGACGAAGACACACTCTCCTTCAGTACACTATGGCGTTCTTCAAAAAAATCTAATGAGCTACCTATCTAGAGAGCATATTAAGCCATCATAGGCACACTTTCAATGTGAAGGCTGTTACAAATATTAAAGAATCTAAAAAATATAAAACACCTCATTATGTTATCTCTCATGGATAAAGCAATCCCAGAATGCAGTGCAGTGACCTCACTCAATAAATCTAATTATACCAAAGTCCCTTTCAGGACTGTTGAATGCTTGAATCTGATTGGCTGAGAACGTTCTAAGGTGTGCAATTATTTTCAGGGAAACGCACGGCGAACATAGTTCCAGGCATGTCTTGACGGCATTACATGTCCAACCCACAACGACACTGGCCAAATAAATAAATCTAAAAAATAAAATACAGAATTAAAAAAAAAAAAATTAATTATTAGTCTGCTATCAACTGCTCAAACCTCCGTTACTAGGTCTAAAATGACGTTTTGGAATTAGCAACGGAGGCGTTGGATGAGATGCGGAAGAAATTAATCCTACTCACAATAGCGTCTGTCTGCGTCCCCAGTGAAAATTATACACAATAGAGACCAGATTTAAATTGAATGGGTACACTAAATATAAATACAGTACACCATAAAATTAAGTGACATACCGTTAGTCAGTGATTGAAAGCTACAATGGATATATAAATATTGTCTTCAGTGTAGCAGCATTTTTAACATTATATAGAAACAATGTAAGAACATTACTCAGTGTAAACCTTCCTTTTCCTCATTTCCTTAAATGCATATTATTTTCGAGGTCTACCATCTTTTTAACTCTCTGCCTAACAAGCCTCATGTATTTCTGTGTGTCTTCAGGCGTCTCCACTGCACCAGGAACTACATTCACATGCACCTGTTTGTTTCCTTCATGCTGCGTGCCATCAGCATCTTTGTGAAGGATCACGTTGTGCACACTAGTGCTGGGCTGCAGGAATTTGACGCTGTGCTTATGAATAACTTCACTAATGCTGTGGATGTGGCACCAGTGGACACTTCACAGTATGTGAGTCAAGCGCTATCTCATATTAGATGTATTTCATCAAATATTTATCAAGTATCTCATGTGGCTACATTTCAGATTATGACATCAATATTTATATTAGGGCTGGGTGATAGTTTAAAATTATATATTACGTATAATCAATGAGTATTTAGAACTTTGTTTTTCTTTTCAGTAAAAAAAAAAAATAGAACCCTTTTTTAAATAATCTAAATTGTTTCATTATTCTGACTTTAATAAAAGGGTTTCTTTTAATTTAGATGAACTTAATTTAATTTAAATGTAACTGCTAAATGCAAAAAATAAGTGTTACATAATGTTTTTTGTGCAAAACATTGTGTTACCAATTAGCAAGTTAGCAAATACTGAATTACTATTTTTAACTATCAACCATATTTAATCTGATAATTTTAAACTGAATAATTTTAATTTAAATGAATGATTTAGCGTAATCAAATATTTCAAGTTTTTCATAACATGTATGAGTACAAAATAAAAATTCACCCGTTACACTGACTACTTCAAATTTGTGAGTTTTGCCATCTTATGCAGGTTTACAGTGTATATGTGTATATTTGTTTTTCCTTCAATTTGTTTACTCCAATATTAATTTATAAGTAACCCTTTATATTCAACTATATATGTTTTCTATCTATATTCAAGATAGATAGATAGATAGATAGATAGATAGATAAAACAAGCCTGGAAGAGCGAAAATTGAAAGAGGTCAAGTTGGGTCTGGACGAAGTGACATCTGGGTGAGGTCTGACTCCAATTCTGATTATGGTGGAGAATATATATTTTAATGCTAGTGTAAGGTTATGCCCCATCTTGACACTTTGTTGGGCTGAAATTGCTGGAAGAAATGCCAAAGCTTTTGTCAGCTTGTCAGAAATGTCAGAGGTTACTGGATTGCAAGAAACTGTAAGTGCTTACAGTCTCATCCTGTGTAGTGTCATACTCTTAACGGAAGGCTTTTGTTTCATACCATCTCCAATCTCCACCCCAATGCTTGTACACAACATGTCTGAGTGTTTTATTATACTGTACGCCTACCACATGGCCAGCCTCAACAATCCATGCATAGAAGTAAAAAAAGCTCACTTGTCCCCATTTGCTGTCTTTTGGGTGGGAAATGATTATCCATTCCCACCTACGCTCAGGCTTAAACTGTATCGGTGCCCATTCCAGGCAATGCTGAGACTCATTGACTGTGCCCTCAGCTTTTTCTTCAAACAGCTGCATTGCAGGAGATAAGTGCTATGAAGCCAATATGTGAGGGAGGATTTTGCAACCAGTTGTTTAGCATCCATAGCTGCAACCCTTATGTTAGGTGCAAACAATGTGTCTTCAGAGATCAAAGGCACAACTGCTGTGCTTTGATCCATTTGTTTACCTATAATATGCAGCAACTAACTTAAGTGTTTTGCATCTTCTATAGGTCAGTCAGCCAACATGTTTACATCAATGGGTTGCTATTACTCTCAAATTTCGCATTTCAAGAAACATGCTGGAAATTTCCTACCGTTTCATTTTCTTCTTAGTGGCAAATATTTGCTTTGTATATATGCTTTCTGCATTATATTAGGAATCTTTGCAAAGACTTTTCAGTGACACCAGGCAGTCATTTGTTTTTCTTCTTTTAAAGCCAAGCAGCATATCATTATTATAACTTTTATTATTATCATTATTATTATTATTATTACTACTACAACTACTGGCAATACTGACAAATTATTAATTCATATATCAGTATATTCCCATGATATAGTCCATGTTATTTTTTGTTAAGTATTGAAGGAAAAAAAAGTTCAATATTAGTATTATATTATGACAGAATAACAAATACAATTAAAGTAACCAATACTGTGAATGCAGTATTGTGATTTTAATTTGGACAAAATGTTTCCTAAAGACTGTCCCAGTAAGCTAATGTCTATGCTTGGTATAAAATTGTGATACTACATTGTGGGTGGATTGTAGAATGACTCATAGTGCGTTTGCATTATAATTTAATGTCATTTTTGTATGACCAAGGCTGCTATGACAGAAATTATGATACTAGAAATTACATTTTTTTTCAATCATTATGCTTCCCTTGCTATTGTGTGATTAGAAGGGTAGACTGCCCTTTTTTCCACTTGTAGCTAGCATTCAGTATTTTTCATTATTTATAATAACTGGGATCTGCATTGAGCGGCAAGAATAGGAAATTGTCCATTCATTCATTAAATTGTGCAGTTTTTGGTTATTTAAAGATAATGATTTAAAGAGATCTTAAAGGGTTTCAGTAACTAGTGCTGTTTCAGTTACTATTTTTGTTGACTTTTAGGTCCAGTTTTTCCAGAAGTACCTTGTTGACCAATGATTTCATTTGATTTCTATAACATTTTTACTTCTATAGAAGCCTCCCTACTGCTTCACTGTGGTGGTCTGCCATAGGCATTATGTTTTCAATCAGTACTGTGAAAAGAGGGCAGAGATGTCTTAGAGTACATTGTCAGCAGAGAGGCAGGGAAAAGACAGAACAAAAGTTTTAGGTGTTCAGGTGAGCCGTCCAGATCCTCCAGGTGTATTGATAACATAATCTGCACCTTGCTTTTCTCCGGCACCTCTTTGATCATCTGGCAGAAACTCTGAAGCTCTCACGGTTACCCCTAGTTTCTGGCACTTTCATGTGTCTGGAGTTGATGCGTCTGTTATTGTCCATGCTCAGAATAGCAGCCCTTTCACTGGGCTGTTGCACTACTGAGTTCCAAATGCACTCCTTTGGGGGTAAAAGTAAGAACAAAAGGGAACAGAGAGTGATAGTTAACTCAAAAAGGACAAGTCTGTGATCATTTATTAACCTCATGTGATTCCAAACCTTGCTTCTGTGGAAAATAAAAGGAGATGTTTAGCAGGATGTTCATGCTGCTCTTTTAGACAAAGGATGTCAAGTTGTAAATACACATAAAAATAGTATATGACTCACATACTGCATTCCATGTCTTCAAAGCCATACAAGCTTTGATGGAAATTTAAGTCTTCCTTTCCACAATAGCTCTCTAATCTTAAGCATACACATATTTAAATTTACCACATCACATGCAAAAGTATGAATTAAACTGAATAACTTCACTTTTGTTCCACATACAAAGTTATCACATTCTGAAAAAAAAAACATCCTTTTGTGTTCTTTGAAAGATAGTCATACAAGTTTGGAACAATGTAAGAATGAATAAAAGATCCTCATACAAAGTTATCACATTCTGAAAAAAAAAACCATCCTTTTTTGTTCTTTGAAAGATAGTCATACAAGTTTGGAACAATGTAAGAATGAATAAAAGAGGACTTGAGCTGTTCCTTAAAAAAAATTTAACAGATTAAAACCACCAACATCACATTCTCACTCATAAGCTGCAATGTTTACCTCTGTGCGGGCTGAATATGGAGCTCATGCTGGCAAAGACACTGTAATTATAGCTGCTTTTGCATATTATAGGCACTAATTACAGTTTATTCAAATCACTTGTGACAGATAATGTTTTGATGAGTCAAGAAATGATGCACTACATTCATAGTGTCACTGTGTGCTACTGTGAGGAGCTCGGAGACGAGGAGTGGAATTCAAACCTATAGGTTTTAATAATATCCAGGGACCAAGGAAAACACACATAGCAAGGGTAGACATATACAATTCCGGACGATGGAAAACAGAACGGGCTAGAACTCAAATATGGCAGATAACGAGGGGCAGACAGGTGAGGAGGATAACTAATAATGAGACACAGGGAGAAACTAATGAACTATGATGACAGGAACAGGAAGATAACCAAATAAGGACAAAAACATAACCTGGAGCACGTGGGGGAAGAAAACACACACAGACACGGAACAAAGTCTGACACATAGTTATTTGTGGTAAATTGAAACTCAGACATTAAAAACCATTGATGGCCTTCTACACAGAATCAGACTAACATTTTTGTGTTATGAATACGGTTGTGTGGAAAAATAAAAAAAGAACAGAAACAGAAAACAATGTATTATACAGTGTGTAAATCAGAGAGGAGAAACAATGAGATTAAATGTAGAGCAAATGGAGACTTTTATGATGCTTGTCATTTTTTCTCCTGACAAATACTGTAGACTCCAGTCATCACACATCTCCTTTAGAGTTTCTGAGGAAATCTCAACAGTGTCACAAATTATGCTCAGATTTGCAAAGATATCAGTCTGCTATCAAAAGTCGTCAGTTTCAATATATACTTTTCCTCAAATTTCAAACCTAACTCAAGCAAATACCATTAAAGTCTAAATTATGTGAGCTAGTGTACATAATTTTATAGTTTGATACTCTGTTTTTTGTAAACTGTCTGAATTTATGTCCATTTGTATTTTTCCTAAGGAATATTATGGGAACTATCTGAGACTGAATGTAAATAGGAGCTATGAAAGAGAAACATCTGAGGAATAAAATTCAAAACTGTTATTACTTATTACTTTTACCTCTCATATAATATATACCTCTCATATTTGGATATACACTACCTTTCAAAGGTTTGGAGTTTATAAGGTTTATAAGGCACTTCGATGCTGCATTTATTTGGTCAAAAATACAATAAAACAGTAATATTGGGAAATATTTCTATTTAAAATAGCTATTTTCTGTACTCATTTCTTAAAACTTACTGGCCATTCGTATCCAACAATCATATTTTTATTCCTGTATCCACAGTTAAAGTGTAGAGTGAAAGCTGAGCTAAAAAGACAGGTCTTAAGGTTCGATCAGTCGTTGCTGTAGCAGACATCACTATTATTGATCATACTTGGTATTAGGGATTTCAAGAAACTCCTAATCCTAGGCATTAAACTATAGTGGGGAACTCATCCTGCACCATTTGTGCTCAATGATACCTCAGATACTGCAGCTTGTTGAGGAGAGGTGTGCTATTAACTTTCTACGTGATCAGACTTACGATTATCACCTGCTAGGTGACAAAACAAGTTTGGAAATCCCA